AATTATTGTTAATTTTCAATAATATATATAGTAAACGTAAGTACAAAGTAACATATTTACCCTGGAGGACTGTAATTTAAATCCAGACCATTACCAAGAAGGCTAAGCCTTGTGATTCCAGCACTATATCGGGCAGTGTTCAATGCAGATCTCTCTGATAAAACTGTACGACTTCTAACACTAGGTAATAAAACTGGAACACCTTTGGCTGGTTTACAAATACCTAAAGACACTGCGAGTCTCTTTTTTGAGTTAGACAAAACACTTGATACAGTTCTAGCTTGACGCATAACTCTTTTGTTCTATAAAAAAAAGTATTGCAATTTGTTTTTTGATCATTTCATTTTAAATAATAAATATGATTAAAACAATGTGTCATATTACCTTCCTCCTCCGTTTCCTTTTTTTTCTTCGTATTCCAATTGAAGCTACTTTCACGAATGTAACAATTTCTTCTTCTTCTCCATCTTCGTTACATTCTGTAATTCTAACTTCTCTCAATATCGTGCCCCTGCTAGAAACTTTTCTTGATTTACCAGACTTTCTCGATTTGGTCCTGCTTCCCTTCTTTCTCGAATTACTCCCAGACTTTTTATTACTATTACTATTTCTCATCGTGCTTCCTGTTTTCCTAGAATTACCTTTTGATTTACTATTATCAGAATTTTTAGAATTATTTCTATCATTGGTTCGTCTTCTAGATTTCGCGGAAATACTTTCGTCACTAGAATCGGTCGAGCTGCTTCTAGATCTCTGAGATTTCCTTGAATTCTTATCTGAACAATTTCGATCTCCAGAACCCAATGAATTAGAGGCATTGCTCGGAGAACGACTTCGACTGTTATCTCCGTATGATTCCAAACCAGAAGAGGTGGAAGGTTGGTTTGGATCAAATGTTAGTTGACGGGTTGATTGTGGATTGTCATAAACTCTATTTCTTCTGTCAACACAATTATATTAAATGATTTTGTATTGTGTATTAAACGTGTACAAAAATTAAATTATAGAATGCAAAATGTAATAAAACTCATATGATGAAGCAAGAATTTTATTTTATTCATCGTATCGGTACCTGCGAATAGCAGCTCTAACACGTTCTGTATGTCTAGTACGAGGTACAATTCGTGGTTGAGTATCTGAAGGTTGACCAGTACGTGTTCTGCCATAAGAAACACCAAGTCTACGAGCTTCTTCCATTAAATCTGAGATCTCATCTAAATCAATTTCCACCTGAAAAAAAAATATGAAATCCATTTTTGAAGGAGATAAAACAGTTTCAAACTATACTTTTAATAGTTAAGCGCATTGATAATTACACACAATTTCAAATTCATTCGTAGTAATGCGATAAATATTTAACAAAACCAATAAACAAAAAATAACAAAACGCTTACAACTTCTGCATCGTTTTGGCTGTTTTGGGAACATTCTGGACAAAACCATTCTTCCATTGGTACTTCATTCATTGGGGGAGACAAACACTCTAGATGATAACCACAGTCACAACCATCGCAAAGAAGCATACGATCTTCTCTGTCACTTTGATGACATACTTCGCAAAATGTTGGATCCTCCAAAGGTTCATCTTCTACACGAGGAGTCACTTCTACCGGAACTTGTCTTATAATCTGTAAGAAAAAATATATTAATTTTATTCATAATTATAATAATTATTATAGAGATTAATAGAGTAACAATAATTAATAATGTAACAATTCTAAAAAAACATACCTGTCCACCAAGTTCAGTTCTAACATGAATTGTTGTGAATGTTTGACGATCTACTGGGCAAGTGTTTACATTTTTACTCCATTCGATTAAACATTCCAAACAGAAACAATGTTCGCAGGAAGAAGGAGTTCCTAATTGTTGCCTTCTAAAAGGAAGTAAACATATAGGACATTTTTCTATTTGATCGTCACTGGTGTCCGTATCTGTATCTGATACAATTTTTGGAGGTTTCTTAGATCTTGATTTTCCAAGAAGTTTTCGTTTAATAGGAGACTTTTTCTCTGACTCTGATGAACTGCTCCAGTCTGACTGCCATTCAGAGGTTTCACTGTTCTCTCCTAAGAAAAACAAGTTTGACAAATGTTATTAGATATTTAATTATATGTACATTTATAAAAAGTTAAAATTTGATTTATATACTGTCATCTTAAATGAAAATTTTAAAACTAACCGAATTGATTAAAATTGTTTGAAACTGAACTACTGCTTCCATAACTTGTCTCATCTTCGGTAATAACTCTCTGAAATTATGAAATAAACAAATATTGTAATATTTCATGTATATTATGCATTATATATATATTATTGGATTGTTTATTAATATTGTTTAATGTAACTTACATGCTTTTGTCTTCTTACAGGTCTTTGAATATCACTGTCTTCGTCACTAGATTCACCTTCACTTATAACTCTCTGTAAGTATAAAATTATAATCTATACATACCAAGGAAACAAATTTTAGATTGACTATACTATTGAAGTCAACAATTCAAATATTTTTATTAATAAAACCCAATGCATACATGAGTTTTCTTCTTCCTACGAGATTGCACTATAGATTCGTCGCTATCTTCACTATCAGGTATGACAAGTTTCTTCCGCTTGCCGGATTTGGGTATCTGATCGTTGTCGCTAGACATTTTAACTGCTCTGTAAAATCATACCCGCCTTGTCACATGTCCTATTTGTGTTTAAAAAAAAATAAAGAATTATTAACACAAACTTTGTTTTTATTTTTTTTCATGTTCTTTGTTTTTGTTTTCTGTTTACTATGTTATTATCTTGATACATAAAATTATCATAAATGCGTAATGTAAAATATATATAATCAAATAATGAAAAATAATATTATTGTTGAATAAAATAACATTTGTGAATATGTACAGTTGTATCGTAGTAGATATACACAAGTACATTGTAATAAAATAAATTTATGTCTTTAATAAATCTAAGACAACACCAATGTCAATAATAAAAATTTATTTAACAGAAAAATCCAAACAATATTCCACATTAAAAATATAAAAAGACACTAAACTTAAAATTTCACTGAGCATTGCAAATAAATTGTTTACACAGTAATGAAAACTCCAAATATCATAATAGGAGTAAATCATATCAAACAACAAACAAACTTAAATTCAAATTGATGTAATATCAAGATTTAGATAATCTGAAACTAAACAAACATTACACATAGTAATAGTATAAGTAAATTAAAATTCAGCATTACAATTAAATTACATAAAATTTGAAAATTGATCACATCTAGGAACAATTTTAATTATGATATATTCAGTATAAATTCGATATTATTTGTTTAATTCATTATTTGATTGCTATAATCATATAAAGTCTCGTAGAACTCAATTTAATTACATACTCAAAACTTATTGAAATACTTTGAGTCACTGTATATAACCACATTAACACATTACGAATTTCGACTCTTCTTCAAGAAAATATTATAAAATCGAATATTGCACTCTCTAATACAAATTGCCAGTGTTTTATTCGAATAATCGTCTGTTTGGAGTCACTTGGAAAAATTTTACAAAAAATTTTCAATACATTCGATGAAATTACACAGAGAGAAAAGGACAAGGATCGAGCAGTGTCGAGGGTGAACCTAGAAAACGTCAATTTACCTTCGAAATTCCAAAGATTCCGATTTATCACTGTATCAAGGGGATCCAATATCGATCATACATTATCAATGATTCAATTATTGACTGATTCGATGTTGACTTCGATGGAGATTCACAAATGTTGACAGAGGATACGCTTAGATTTGAGAAACTGCCGACATTTTGGCTGCCGACGCCGTTCGCGACGTTGCGCTATTTTCTCACTGTTTGACTAATGATCCAAAAAAGTAAAAATTCTTTACTCGCTTACATAAAATAAATGTTAATTCCCAGCAGAAGAAATTTTTATGCTTGTATTGTATTCTATAAATGTTTATGAAGCTTACAAAGTATAAATTACATAGATATTTACTTGAATGTTGTGGTAAACATCCGCCGGAAGTATCATAAAGTACTGAATTTAACTTAAGACTTAGTGAATTTATGATGGAATTATTTCTACTAAATATTTACTTAATCATTCAACTTTCTTTAGTATATAATACATAATATTTTATCTTTTACAGTGTATTCTATTATTTATCGTAGTTAATATAATATTTATAACATACGTATTTATTTATAACTGTGAGGCTGAAGAAATGAAAAAAGAACAAATTATATGTATAATTTTATTTCATACATTATGTCCAATATGTTTTAATCGATGAAGATCTAAATATTAAATATTAAAGTATTTTCTTTGTACAAATATTTTGTAATGCGTTTTGATTTTAATTTTCCCGCGTATATTTTGAATTACTACACTAATCTACCACTTGCTAACTGAACTGAAACGGCGCTACTGTCTTTCGTCTGATATAAGTACGCAAAGATGGGTCGTATGCACGCACCAGGGTAAAGTAAATTAAATATTAGAAAAATTTACCCTTGTAAATATTTAAAAAAATTTTATCTTAAGGTTTTATTTACTTTTCTCATTATTACATTATAAATTCATTAATTTCTTGCATGAAAAGCTGATGAGTATATTCTTGTTGATGACCATGTGTTCCTCACTTGCATTAACGATAAATAGTGTTTATATGCTAGATTTTATATATTTTAACATATTTTAACGATAATTAATGTACTTTTAAGTTTAGAATTGTGGAAAATTTGTGCTTTTGAGAAAACTAATATAATTTTTGTTCTTACTTTTTCATAACCTTAATATTCTTAGTTTGCCATATCCATGTTCATACTTTTGATACTTTACAAACGAGACAGATAATTTTTTATAGGTTGTTTTACATCACTTTTATAGTTAGATTAATTGTTTGTAACATAATTGTATGGATTTGCAAATAATTAAATTTGAATGTTTAAGTTGTAATTAAGTTTTGTAATAATAAAAATTTATATTATAGAAAGGGTATATCCCAGTCAGCCTTACCGTACAGACGCAGTGTCCCAACATGGCTGAAGCTGACACCAGAAGATTGTAAGGACTTAATTTATAAGCTAGCAAAGAAAGGTCACACACCCTCTCAAATTGGTAAATCTATGTTTTTTTATGACTAAATTAGAAATAATAATATTTATTAAACATTATATTCACAAGTAATGTCGCTATAACTGAAAATATTATTTCAATTAATAGATCATTTAAGATTTAGATCTTAAGTAATTTGTAAACTTAAGTTTGATTACGCAAACTAATAAAGATTCAATGTATTATCTTTGTCTCTTGATACCATAGTTTGCAATATTAAAATGGTGATGTTTGAGGTGAATTTTGATCTTCTGTCTTGTCATCATAGGTTTTCACCAAACATTTGAAAATTATTTTTTACTTTTACATTTAAAGCTAAGTACTTTTTAAAATGGGTAGTGGTAGAATAATAAATATCATTTGCAGGTGTAATACTTCGAGATTCTCATGGAGTAGCTCAAGTACGTTTCCGCACTGGAAATAAAATTTTGAGGATTGTCAAGAGTATGGGGCTTGCCCCTGACTTACCAGAGGATCTTTACTACCTAATCAAAAAGGCAGTAGCTATCAGGAAGCATTTGGAAAGAAATCGCAAGGACAAAGACAGCAAATTCAGATTGATCCTTGTCGAATCTAGAATTCATAGACTTGCCCGGTACTATAAGTCAAAGGGAACTCTGCCAGCAAATTGGAAATACGAGAGTTCTACCGCTAGTGCTCTCGTCGCTTAATTACCTTCTTTCATTTCTCAATAAAATAAAAATTTAAACATAAATTTGTTGTATTTTACAATACCCATATTTCACATATAAGTGGTAAATTAATATTAAGCTTTTGATTATTCTCCAATACTACACTCTATCTCATAGATAATTTACTTCTTAACATCATCAACATTTTATGTGACATATGAAAAATTTACATTATCCGTTGAAAACGAATTTTAATCATGTAATTGTACCTTCAAATTTTATGTAAAATAAAACATTTTTTAAAAATTGAGACTCGTAATTTAACTACAAACTTTTTCTCAAAAGTTTCACATCGAACAAGATCTCGACTTAACAAAGTTACTTATACTTTTATAAATTACAATGTATTGATATTGAAACACACGGACATTCTTCATTGTATCCGTTTATTAACTGACCGCATGAGAAGTTATAAATTAATAATGTTTCCTTGCGCGAAACGTTGTTCCAACCCATCACGACGGTTGTCCCAATTTTGACGTCACGGGCCCCGTACAGAGCTAAGAGGGGTCCATAAGAAGCCGGGTTACTGCGCATGCGCAACCTTCGTCCTCGACTTCCCTCGAGGACGGCGCATGCGTTCACCAAGATGGCGGCCAGGTTCTCATTCTCCAGTAGGCAAGGCTCTTTCGAAGCTGCGCCATATTAAAAACCACAGAAGTATTCGATCGATTTTTCGATTGCCCGGTACGTTAGATATCGCGTCGAAAACTCGGCCGCTTCGTCCCGTTTCGTTTCCCGTGGTGTAGTTGACAGACTGCGCGCGTGAATTCGACGGTTTCAGGAAGTGAATTATGGGTAACGGAGGAGACGCGAGTGCCTTTGACGTTTGTGAACCATATTGAAAGGCATATTGGAGGAGTTTCGTTACCAAAGAAAGGTATGATAATTAACGAAACAAAGAATACATATTTCCGTCGTATTTTAATCCAATTCTCGAGCCTCGTAATTATAAGAATTTAAATATCGAAATCGAAGGACGTCCGCTATCGGTATCGGTGATTTGAATGCTGACCCGCACTCGAATGCTGGTTTCGTTATCCTGAAGTTAACTTCAAGAAAAAAAAAGGAATTCGCATTTAGAGTGAAATCCTTTTGCCGTACCGTGCCATTTCAACGGCGATCGTTTATTTCAACGATTGTCGAGAATCACAGCTGGAACCGTGAAAAATGATGCGAATTTTTTTTTAATAAATGCATTGTACTTGAAATGGTATAACATATGGGAATATTTGGTTGACATATGCGAACCTCTTCGTCCTCGTGACTTTTTCTTTCTATCGGAACTTTTCCATTTTATGCGGTGCAGAGGTGTAAATGGGAACGGTTTTGTCGCAAAATTGTGCGGAAATATTTAAATATAAATAATTCTTAGGTCGTTAGGTGTTTTTCTTTTCTTTTCTTTTTTTAATTAAAAGTGTTGAATGTGTTATAAGGGAACGATACGAGTATAGAATAAAATAATATTTCGTAGTCGTTTCTAGGATAATTAGGGGAGAGGAATATTTATGCGCCATTTAAAAATATTCTTTGCCCGATGGTTTGAGATTATTCGATCGTTAATGAAAGTGAAAGTGAGCTGCTATCGAAGAGATATTTTCATTATAATAATCGTGTCACTGATAATGGCGATAATGTTAATAAAATAATAGTGAGTTGATGATACACGTTGATACATATATATATAAGTGTGTTTATTAACAATTAATTCAGATCTCCTTGTACTCTTTAAATATTCGATAATTTGTTGACAATTTAACTGTGCCGTTTCAACTATTATGAAATGAGCTGCGGTTTCAGCGTCGTGACGTAATTGTTACTATCTTCGATATTTTTATTATTAACAAATGATCTCGTATAGCTAACGTTGTAAACAGGATGATAATAAAACGTTGATTTTCATTGTCTCAAACTGAAGATCAGGTTTTATACAGTGATCCATATTTGTGAATGAATATTTCTAATTAATATTTACAATATTTAAATATACAAATATTGTCTAATATACGTCTAAAAGAAGTAATTGAAATAAATCGAACAATTTTTTAGTAATCATATAATTAAACAAGTTTTCATGTGATATTATTATAATAAATTATAAGAAAAATCAAACATTAAAATCAGCGATTAACTTGAACTTTAATATCCTTTCAAATAAAAAGTTTTAGAAATAATTTGTCTAAATTGTAGTAGCATTGCATAGTATTTTGTAGAAATTTATTGTTTGTATAAATATGTACAATAATACGTGTATTATTGCATGATTCAAGCTTACTTATTGTTAAATATGAAATTTTCAATGTATTTCCGATATGTGATGTAAAAATACACGTATTTTTAATCAACTTTGACTCGAAATTTGTGCGGATCATATACTGTAAATTTTGCTTGGCGAGGGAGATTTCAACGGCGCCGACTTGCACAAGCGACGTCACGAGGGTATACGCGTACGCTTCAAGGCTGTTCACATGCTTTAATTGTTCGAATTACTCGAAACTCGTTTAAATACCCAAACAAATCTATGTTTATCTATCTATATAACATTCGTAAAGGTCAATGAAATTGGAAACGTTACAATTATACATATATGTTTGCCTCTTATCACGGAACATGTATTTATATTCGCAAACATACGTATAATTGCTACTTTTAGTAGGATTCGCTTTAAAGTAAACTTAATAATTGTCAGTATTGTTTATTCATTCGACTAATTACATATCGCTAAATACTTATCAACGTTGTTCAAATGATTCAAATGATTCAACATAAACACATTCTCCGAGTGACGCAAATAATTTAGTCACCCGAAAATTTCCTAATTTGCATGAATTTGATTCGATTACGCAACACTACTCGCGTCGCGAGTTCCTTCTGAATTACTCAAGCGATTAAATCGAAAGAAACGAAGGACAATATTCTCTTTTTGATTTTAATGATCGAATTAAAAAAAAAATCTCTCTCATCACACGAACCTTTCCAAAATACAGATCAACGGTCGGATAAGCAAGGATTATATTTCTTACGCGACACAAACGCCATTCAAATTAACCAAAATTAACCAACGTTTTCGCAAGTTACGTAAATAATTAAATTGCCAGGGATTTCTTTCGCCACACCGAGTTTATAATTAATGAAGGAAGGTTAACGAAAAATCCAGACTGCACGGTCGTATTTTTCAACGGCGCGTAAATCCTTCTCTTGTTTTAAGTTCAACGACTATGTATTCGGGATTATTCGAAATTTCTCACGTGGTGCGAACGTCTTTCGAGTTCCACGCGGATCATCGTTGTCGTTGTCGCCGAGTCACTCAAAATATTCGAGTACTCGGCCATCATTAATATGCATGCGTGCTTGGCTGCGCGAGACGCGTACAAACTTTTAAAGGGAGCTGCATTTGTATTCGATTCACGCGCGGTTTACAGCATGGGCGTTCGTTCCTTTAGAGCCCAACGCGCGAGTGTCTTCGTAACGGACATTGCAACGTACATACACACGTACGAGCCTCGTTCAACGAATGTCCAGTCGACGAATTTCTTGCCTCGATCGATTTTTAACGTTTCCATGGCCCTTTCCGTGAGTAATCCTATCGAGATGGCATTCTTGCTTAGAAAATTCGTTTTTTCGTGGTTTTTCATTTGCAATTGTATTAAAACGTACTAAACTGAGAAACTGTAGATTCTAAAGGGGTACAACAACATTTTATGCAAAAATATTTTACACAGACAAAGCTATATAAACATAGTAATTATAATGTTTAGCTTCGACATGTTATCGGGAGAAATATTATCTTCTTTAATGAGATGCAAGCTTCAATGAAATTAACACTAGGTTAACGTACATTTTTTGTACGCTTTGTTCTATCGTTCCTAGAGAAATGAATATTCGTTCATTTAGATCTCGGAAATTAGTTAAAAAATCGACAATTAGAATGCACATATATTATTACGATCCCATCGATAAAAATAAAGATTATTAAAACATTTACTAAATATTTATGAAATTCAATATGCGTAAAATTTAGTTTTATATTTTATTAATCCGTCGAACCGTTCGCGTTGAAATCGAAATTCAATATTATCGATTCCTTATGCTTCTCCGCAGAAGTGTACTCCAACGATTTCCACGTTTCAACAATATTCGTGTTATCTCGCGAGGGGCAAATATCCTGCGTCTGTTTTTCGAATGCGTTGCGCCGTCGCAGCCATCTTGACCCATTACATGGGCACGATAATTCATATCTCGTAAAGTATACGCGCGTTGCGCGTATCCGAGGACGGCTATGGACTGTCTCGCTCCCGAGGAATCCTGGAATATCGACGGCTGGGACCGTCTGGTCCCAGTGGACGACCGTGAAAACGACGGTCGCAATTGTCTTGTTTGCCAACGGGGTTAAAGGTGATGAAGTCAACGCACGCGTGTCGAGTGCAGATGGAACTCCCGTCAATAGTGACGTCAGTCAAGCGATATCCGTTAGTATAACGCTCGCACGAGTAGCAACTACAACATGTCCGTTATTTTAACGCTCGCGCGATCGCGGCCACTACGTCAGATGAAAACTGCTAACCAGTTAACTGCGTTTGACGAGTATACACGTCATCTTAAAGCTTGAAACGATACTAATTCTTTCGACGACGAATTCGTTATATTTTCAGATGAACATGTAATTCTCCTTTGTTTCGCTTTGGTTTTTCATTAAAATGGGTGCATTCGTCCTGCGTTTGACGAGTACACACTCCATTCTTTGATTTTATCACGCGCAAAACGAGAGATTTCTGAAACTAAGTTCCACAGTTTGCGGATGAAGATTCTTTGAAATGTACAAAGCTTTCAACAGATGAAGCTAAATTATATATTAATTGCTTAAATAATAGCAAAAGAAACTACATGCTAATCTCTTGCTGTCCGAGTAATTAAATCGTTTGCCTGCGACTTAGTCTTCCAAATATGAACGTTTCATCTCGCCGAAATGTCGACATTCGTCCGCAAAAGGTTAAAAGATTAAGCACAGTTGGGAGATGACTTG